TACATACGTAACACATGTCCCAACCATCTCAGTCGATGTAATTTCACAGTCTCGTCGACTGATTCTCCCGCCTTACCTAGCACTCGACGCCTAACCTCAGTATTGCTCACCTTATTATACCACTTCACGCGGGAGATAGAACGCAGACAACTATGATCGAAGACAGCTAATCTTTTCATGTCTTCTGCTCTCAATGGCCAGGTCTCACAGCCATAAAGGAGGACGGAGCGGACTGATGAGCAGTACACACGCCCTTTGGTCGATAGTCGGATATCGCGTCTACGCCAGAGACGGCGAAAACTGACGAATGCGAACCTAGCCCTCTGTATTCGTGCTGAAATTTCGTCTGAGATCAGCCCGTTGGGGCTGATGGTACTTCCCAAGTAAGTGAAGCGGTCAACGTGTTCTACCACTTCACCTCCTATTTCTAATCTAGGGGTCGATGAAGTCCAATCCTGCAGCATCATCTTACATTTTACAGGGGCGAATCGCATGCCAAACATACGGAGATTGTTGCTCAAGTTGTTCAGTAGACTCTACATTTTGTCAGAGTCCTCGCCTAGAAGGACTATATCGTCCGCATATTCTAAGCCAACGAGATTATTCCCTGGTAGCAAGTCAATCCCTGAGTCGCTGAAGTGTGATAGGGTTAAGTCCATTAGTACGTCTATGATGAAATTGAATAGGAATGGGGATAATGGGCATCCTTGACGGACGCCACTAGTCGTCACCACTTCAGATGACAACTCGCCATAAGCCCTCACCTGGCTGCATGAGTACGAGTAGAGTGCCTTAATCAGTGCAATGTATTTTCTTGGCATTCCCTTTACAGCCAAGCATCGCCAGAGAACCTCCCGGTCGACAGAATCGAATGCCGCCTTTAGGTCAAGAAATATAATGATTGTCGGACGCCGGTAGGAATGCCTATGTTCTAGAATCTGTCGAAGGGTGAAGATGTGATCAATACACCCTCTACCTGGCCTAAAACCTGCCTGGTTTTCTCGTGTTTGTGCCTCCCGAGAACCACTTAATCTACGCAGTATTATTGAGCCTAGGATTTTAGATACTATATTAGTCAAGCTAATCCCTCTGTGATTATTACAAGAAGACTTGTCTCCCTTCTTGTATATCGGGATGATCAGTGACTTACACCAACCGGAAGAGACTTCCTCTGATTCCCAGAAGCTGCCTAGAACCTCAGTTAACGCAGACAGTAAACTGTCTCCACCGTACTTAAATACCTCTGGAGTCAATAAATCAGGTCCCGCTGCTTTGCCTAGCTTCAGATTGGTGACAGATTTAGTAACCTCAGTTAAGGACGGAGGACCTGTGTCTATATCCCATTCAGGGAGGTGTTGGATGTCCGGCAGGTTAAGTGTGGCTGTGGGCCAATTAAACTGCTCCTCATAGTGTTCTTTCCAGCGCTCCAGACGTCTATCCTGGGAGCTAATTATGGTGCCATTTTTCTCGGAGATTGCTTCGCTTATCATTTGCCCTTTTACCACCTGTTTCCCTGATAAGCCTGAATAGTTGTCTGGTGTTGCCTATCGCCGATGCTTTTTCCATCTCTTCCGCCTTTGCCAACCACCATTATTCACGGTCCTTGCGGAGACTTTTCGTAAGTTTCTTTTTGTGCAGCTTTCGCTCTTCATTGAATTCGGAGCTCGCCGGAATAAGTCTTCTAGCATCTATCAGTTCGGATGAGGCAGTCGAAATCCAATGGTTTTTACTCACCTTTGGATTTACCTTATTCACAGCTTTTACAGCTGTATCTATGGCTGACTGAATATTCTTCCAGGCTTCTTCAGGGTGAGCGCAGCTGTCAAACTCAGATATGTGTTTAGCTAGTTCTTCCTCAAATAGGGACTTAGTTCCCTGGTTGAGCTGGGGACGTGATGGGTTCACCGCCAGCTGTTTCCTACGTCCGTTCAGTCGTAAGCACACACGAGCGCGGACCAGTGCGTGATCGGTATCTACACACGTGTTCCAGAAGGAGCGGCAATCTCCTACCGACCCACGCCAACGATAGCTTATTGCTATGTGGTCTATTTGTTTCCAGCGTTGGTTTGATGATGGAGGTCGCCAGGTCAAACAGTGTCTCTCCTTGTGTTTGAAGTTAGTGTTTACAAGATACAAATGATTATCTGAACAGAACTGTAGGAGACGGTCATCGTTGTCGGTTTGCTGGCACGGAATTCCGTATGTGCCACCGACATTATGCTCAGAATGACACAATTTCCCTACTTGAGCATTAAAGTCACCAGCTAAAACGACTATATCTGAGCGTCTAGCCTTTCGCAGCAAACTAGACAGCTTTTGGTAGAACTCATCCTTCGTTTCATCCGAACTGCAGTCAGTGGGGGCGTAGGCGGAGATTACGAAAAGGCATCGGCGGGTAGTGCAGTCCTTTCTCCTTTTCACTGATCCGTTCAGGCGGACAGCACACATTCGGCTATCTACCGGGATCCAGTCAAGTAATGTCTTTTCTGCTCTAGTACTTAAAGCTATCCCAACACCAGCTAATCCTCGTGAGCTAGCCGTCGCATCTCCTGACACCCTCAAGGTGAATTTTGCAGATTCATCCTGTTGGCCAGGTGGGGTTAGGTGAATAACCACACTTGGGTCTTGTATGCGTGTTTCTGAAACACAGCATACATCAATGGCTCGGGACGCCAGAGTCTTGGCTAGTGATGCCTGTTGTCCTATTTGGCAAAGTGTCCTAACATTAAATGCTCCTATATAAAATTGGTGGCGTGGCTGTTGTTTCTACCTATATAGGTGTCACCGCAGCTGCAGGTAAACTTGTAGATACAGTTTGAAGTAGAGTCCAGAAAATTTCGTCCTTTAATCGTAGGTACAGGGATCGAAAATGTTTGGCAAGTGAGTAAAAGAGATGCAGCGTAAAATGTGCGTTTGATGGCTGACCGAAGTCTTTGGGCTAGCTGTCAACTGCATAATCTTGTCACCCTTGAATGGTAGGTTAATAAAGATAGCTTTCTTTGGTACAGAAGCTGTCTTTTCGAGCTGTGGTCTTTCTTTACTCTGACAAGTGATAAAGTTTTCCGGATAACCATTAGCTAATAAAACTGAATGTATATGTCGAAACTCATCCATCACTGTGTCACTCGTGCATATTTTTCGGGCCCTTGAGAACAAACATTTCACTGGGGAACGTTTATACTGGATAGGAACAAAACTGGTAAAATGAAGATATTGTCCACTCCATGTCTGTTTGCCAAAGATAGATCTCTGAATCGTTCCATCATCTCTCCTGGTCATTGTAATATCGAGGAAACCGAGTTTGTTATTCGATTCGAGTTCGGAAGTCACTCGGAGTAACTGTCATGAGCTTTATTTTATTATTGTTAACTGTGTTAGTTGTAAAGCGGTTGTAAAGAAACTACGAAATGATATTATCTCGCGAAATTTGTCTTCTTGATGCCTTATTCATATTACAGCAGACGAAATTTTCCAGTTTGCCGAAGGGAACATTTGAATTACTTATTTCATTTTCGCTGATATTTTACAAATATAATTTTTACATATATCTACTTCTCAGTTGGCGCCCAATTATTCTGGAACTATTCGGTCAAATCTTGATCACAGTTCATATGATAAGAAATTTCAAATTCCAAGTCAATAAAAATGATCAATAGAGGTGTAAATTAACAGAGGATCAAGACAACAAAGTTTGTTATCACTTATGGAGAATTCAATTAAGTTCTTTTCATACTGAAACTTGCACTGAAGAATTTGTCTAGAAGGTGGACAACGAAACCTTCACAATTGAATCTACAGCCACCTCAAAGAACACGACCAAATCAAAAATGATAGGCCGTTGGATTCCATCCCAGTCTCTGAATGGTATACAAGTTCGCCTTATAACCTGAATTTCTTTGGTTAGATCCCTGGTGGGGTCTTGAGCGGGCACCGCTGGAAAGTTTTAAACCAGGTGTGTAACGACAGAAGACAAGGGCCAGGCAACAGGTCGTTTATTTAAGGGAATCAACAGATATTTATAGATTTTTATATTTATTATTATTCGTTATTATTAGCAGAGAAACAGCGTCCTCTGATTGGTCGTTTTCTCGCTGAAAGTTATTCTGTCATCTCTTTGTGGCCATTACTTTGAAGGTCAGACCATATATCTGCCAGTCGTATCCGCCTACGCAAAGTCTGCTGTGATTGGTTGTTGACTTAGTCTTTGTTCTTGTTTTTTTTCTTATAACCAAGATATGGGACGTAAACATTGACGTAAATTGCTGTCTATCAATTTTGGCTAGCAGACAGCTCTCACCACAGGTCAAAACCGGTATTCCCTTGTTTCCAATGTTTCTTTAACTGATATCAGTCCGTGATCAAATAGTAAAAATAAGTCTTGAATTAAAAGTAACGCCGGTGTTATAGTTAATTGGTTGTTCATGACTAACAGATGAATCCAAAAAATTGCATTCCTTTTCTGTTTAGAACTCCTCAACTGAATATACCTTCATCCCAGTGATAGATGGTGTTCCCGATGAGAAGTACCGAATCTAGTAGCGAAAGTCTCATCAGGATGCAGATTAATCCATCCATCCAGATGATGACTCCAAAAACGGGCAAAACACACATCACACACTTTACTGCTAAATACCATCTACTACTAATCTAGAGGCATCTTCAAAAAGTCTGAACTACGTAGTCGCCATGTTGGAAAGGGCCGATTATTATTATTACTCCCTTGGGTTCCTTGTGGAGTATCTCCACTTTGCTCTATTTGGTTGTGTTCTCTTCAGCTGGGTCCACAATTGCCCATAATCTCTCATCTCCTCCTAACACGATCACCTTCACACCCATGACCCACTCGTCGCTTCCCATTGGGATTTCTTTCGAGTGATGATCTGCATTACGCGAGATGTCATTCAATGGTTTCCTCATTGTTTGCCCGATCCATCTCCATTTTCTCCCGCATCTCATAAAAAATCGATCAACAATAAAAATTTAAAATTATGTTAGCTTACCCTTTAAACTGTGAATAATTGAATTTTGCCTATGAATAAATACCTTTATTTGTTCTTTTAAACACTGCAAATGTTGTAAAGCATTTTCATGTTTAATAATTATCAAATAATAATTTTTACAAATTAACTGACTACTAATTTCACCAGTAGAAGTAGCAGTGGTAGTAGTAGTATTTAATTTAAACTGATTTATCCACAGAAATTGTTGACTAATAATTAAATCATTGAAATATCGTTTCAAATCATGTAAATTTACATCATTGGAACATTGAACAGAATTCCAATACTTTAAATCAACTAATTTATAACCATAATTTAACGTTAATAATTCAATCAATTTTGGTATTAACTGATAACATTGTGAAGATAATAATAAAAATAGGCTAGTCGCCTGGTATTCAATAACCCAATGTTCATTTTGATTGTTATTCAATATTGATAAGTTATCTTTAAATGTTTTAATGTAATTCAGAGTAGATGGGTGAGTAAGACGAGGACCAAACCAATGAATCTATGAAAAAGAAATGAATCAAAAAGTATTTGGTAAATGGTTTGTTAGGGGCCCAATATCTCAAATTAACTGAAGTTACAATTCATGCATCCTTGAAGTATAACTCAGAGGCTGAATAATCGGCGGACTTGGTTCTTAAAGTGAAGGCTGTATGTTTGATGCATGGTAAGACCATGTTTACATACGGCTAAAGAGTCCCAGACAAGAACTATCCAACTGCCCAATGCCGTTTAAGTATTGGTTTATAGGGATTTTGATTGATTGGCTACAGGATTTCATCACGAGCTGACATCATGAGCTAACCGATGTCAGCTCATGATGAAATCGCGTAACCAATCAATCCGAATCCCTATAAACCAATACTTGAATATCAATGAGATGGTCACAAGCGACTAGCCCTATTCAGGTAGGTAGTTACCTGGGGTGTGAGGACAAATACACGCCGAAGACATTGGCTAGTGGTCGCGATATGTCTTCAATTGGCAGAAGTTGGAATTCATGGGCTGGTCATTGGGTTGGGTCCCAATGGCTGAATGGTCTACGAGCTCGCTCGCCATGCAACCAGAAGGTCCAGGGTACGTACTACTGAAGGGTCCCAAACCAGGACGAAACAGCTATCCAGGTCTCCTAGATTGGTTTTCCAATGGTTCTCTAACTGATGTCAGCTCATGATGAAGTCTTTTGCCCAATGCTGATTGGTTTTTCCGTACCTATCAGCAGTGAAATTATTTATTATTATTACTAGTATTATTATTATTTTTGTTCCCAAAGGTTCTAAGTGGAATATAGTGTTTCAATAGTAAATCATCACGATTTTCTTATTCCTTACTGTCCTCTTAAGCCGGCCAAACGATTACACATAGTCCACGATCTCCCACTTTCATGATCTCCTACATGTCACTCTCTAACTCACGTGATACTTGCCTGCATTGATTGCGATGTCATCCGATGGTCTCCTCAACGTGTGTCAGATCCATCTCCTTTATCATCAATATATTTGTTGGACAATAGGATCCTAGGGCTTCTTATTGCTAATCATTTCTGTCTGACCGACCATCTGATCTTCAGTAGGCAGCCAGAGAAGGCATCTCTTGGTAAAAGTCTTTAGCTGGCTGTTGGAAAGGCTTTTCTTGACGCACAGTATAAGTGTCTGACCCATATAGAAGAACTGGTTAACCAGATATTGGTGCTGGAATTCAGAATTGTTTAATCTGAGTAGAGAAGATTTCCAAACTAATTTTAAAGTGGTGAAGGTTTTTCTTGCCTTTCCCATTCCGGTTTTGACATCCTCATCCTTGCTGCTGTCTGTGGTTGAAACGACGCTTCCTAGATAAGTGAGGCGAGTGACCTCTTTCAAATTTTCCCCGTTTAATACTGATTAGTTCTGGTTGTTGTTAGTCAGTTATCTTAATCACCTCTCTCTTCTCTATGTTCACCTGCAATCCTGTCTTCGCTGCCTGCTTCTCCTGCAATTTTGTTGGCTTTCGTCTGCAAATCTTCTAGTTTGTGGGACATGAGATATATATCATCTGCGAAGTCAAGATCTTCTAGAGTCTTCTTGAAGTCTTCCTGTCTTTTCGCTCTCATTCACAGTCTGATGCATAATCCAGTTCACCGCAATTACGAATATCATAGGTGTTAATAGACAGCTTTGTCCCAGAAATCCAATTAGTTTTGTCGGTATCTTGTCAACTCCTTAAAACTTCAGTTCATTGGAGAAAAATATCGAATAATAATTAACAGTGACCATGAAATGCTCTTTCAGCGTATGTCTAATCCATCTCCGTTTCTTTCTGTATTTAATGTTTGGTAATAAATTCTTGGCTTCTTCATTGCCTGACTTCTCTACTGTTTTCTCTTTCTGTTGGCCCAAGTGATATTCAGCCCTGAAGTAATCTGCTGAAAATGCTTTCCGTGAAACGTGCACCAATTCTCTGAAGCATATGAAAGCACCGACTTAATGTTACATTAATGTTGAAACCTCAGATCTCACTCCTTACTCTGAGTAAATTAGATTTTCATATTGATTTTAGATAATCGGCAATCTGTTTTGACTTTTTCAGTCCTGACTTTGATATCCTCAGTTCACATAGGTGAATGAGGTGATTTACCTTTGGATTTTTCCTATAAAAGAAAGTGGCTGGTGCATCTCTTGTGTGCTGGCAACTGCGAAACTTAGCCACCTCTGTAACTCTCCAAAATTCACCTGAAGTTGTGTCTTCACTGCCCGTCTTTTCTGTCAGTCTGATAGATTTTGAATTAATGTAAGTGTAGAGCTTGGGCACTATGGTACAGTGTAATTCCATGTAAGATAAGTTTTTTTCAAATATCACACACAGTGATGAAACAGTATTGATATAAATGGATGACAAGGCTTCGAGCACCAATTATTGCTGGCCATAATCAAATCAATGTGGTGATCCGACTTCATTTTTCACTTTGTATATGTGTTTCTCTCTCTCTCCCTCTGTTCCCCTTTTTGTCCGTTGCCACTTTCCATATCTCCGGTATGGTGCTGCAGCCTTTCGACTGCACGTGTTTAGTGTTGATTCGATGAACAAAGCTTCAGTGATTAACCTCTTGCTATCTTCACTTAACTGTATTACCTTTTAATACATTCCCACCCGCCCATTCCACCTCATTATGTGATTACATGCAAGTGAATGCGTTGCAATGGCTGAGTTGTTTTTTTAGAGCATTTCCCTAAGTAGACTCAGTCATTTTAAGTCTAGCCAAATTTTGATGCTGCAATAATCAGTTTGTCCTCGATCTACTGCATAATCGGGTCAGAAGCCTAACTAGTAAAACAAAAGATTTAAATAATGAAATCAAACAAATAAAGGAAATATAACTAGTAAATAACACGCCACCCATCAGAATTTATTCAATAATATATGAAGAACTATGGAAAAACTAAGATTAGCAAATAAAAATGACGGAAATAATATAGAATTCAAAGCCTCTGTTGTACTGCCGTATAAAGAAGGAACACCAGAGGTCTTTCCGCCTAAAGTACCGATACATCCGACGACGAAAAGTGATACAGTTGACCAAATACCAAGGAATAGCTGTGAGGTGAATTACATAGGTCATTCTTGTAGATTGGGATCCATTAGGTAATAGGAACATAAAAATTTAGCTAGACCTAGAATAGTAGAAGTCAATAACAATATTAGTGTATTTTTTAAATAATATCGATTTGTTAAGTAAGATCACAATGGAATTACAGTTCATTGAAGATGTATAAGGGCTTCGGTAGCACAGTGGTAGGATGCTTGCCAACCACTCATATAGTCCGGGGTTCGATCCCCGGCTACTGACGCACTCCTTTACCTCACTAAGCCAGTAATAAAACTGGTAAAGAAGGAAGGTTAGCCATGAGGCTGGCAACCCTATCCAGTAAAAATAAACACCACTCCTACCGAAACTTCAAGCCTCTAGCTTGAAGCCCTATATTCCACTGGGAACGTAAAAGAATAAAAAAAGATGCATAAATTATAATAATAATAATAATAATAACAATAATAATATAATAGCAAATGGAATATCAACTGAAATTAAAGAAATCTCTCCAAAAAGTTGAAGATCATTCGAACCTATATGGACAAGGTAAGGAGAATGCCTGAACCAACTTCTTCTTTTGGACGCAGAAATTAGGCTTCTTAATCTGAATCCCAACAACCATCCTCAGCAATATTTAATAAACGAACTCTTAAGACGAAGTTAAGATTGGTTGGTATGCGGTAAATGACTTTGAAAGCCGCCTTGTTAACATCAATCTTGTGTTCTGTATCCACAAGATGAGATAGAATAGTGCTACGAATAGATTTTGTTTGTCCTTTACTTAACCGCGCAGGGTGATGTTCGGAAATCTGACGAGAAATACGCAAGATTGATGTCAACGAGGTGGCTTTCAAAGTCATTTACCACATCCAAACAAATCTTAACTTCGCCTTAAGAGTTCGTTTACTAAATATTGCTGAGGCCATTGGGATCAATATTAAGAAGCCTAATTTATGTGTCCAAAAGTAGCTAGTTCAGATATTGTCCTTCCCTTGGCCATCTAGGTTTGAATGATCCTGAATTTTTTGTAGAAATTTATTTAATTTTATTTGATATTCTACTTGCTATTATATTTTTATTTTTATCATAATTTAAGCATCTTCAATGAACTGTAATTCCATTGTGATCTTACTTAACAAATCGATATTGTTTTAAATAAACACTAATATTGTTATTGACTACTATTGTAGAATATTCTATGTATATAAACATATGCATATAATTGTAGAGCCAGAAGAGGAAGTTATCGAAAAGGATATTCTATGCCCACATTTATTTTGCTTTTTATATAATCAATTTTTTAAAGAGTAATTATTTGATTAACTCATAGTTTTAAGCTGTAATAACTTACAATATGTTCCTTATTCACATCTTCATAACAACTGCCATATACTTGTACACTTGTAGATAAGAGTATTGATTTTTTGCTTGTAAACCAGTTTAAAATATGTTGGATTTCAGTGTGTGATTCAATTCCACGAATAGCTAAGACTAAGTAAGGTTTTAAATTGTTATCACCTTCATTAGAATCATTATTATTTCTATTTTTAGAAGATAACCAAGCTATACGAATACCTGAAGTGTATAAATTTCTTAAATGGAAACTAATCAATAAACTATAGACAAATTGTCCAATAATATTTAGCTGTAACTGTGACAGATTGATTTCAGTGATAGTTGTACAATACTCTTCAATGTTCGATGCATATATTGAATGGGATTTAAAGCAGCAGTAGTTTTGTTTTAATAGGTGGTGAATATTTCTAATCCACTGTTCATACTCATTATTGAAAATATTATTTTCATCAGTATCTTGATCTTTTTTAGGCTCAGTGTTCCATATAGTGTTGTCATGTTGGATTTTACCAATATAAGAATTAGGCTGTGTTTGATGTTGTGTTTGAAACCAAAAATTAGAAAGATTGAATTGAATATTGAAAATATTCAGTGAGATTGGAACATTTAACTTTGGTAGACGAATTCCCTCAGGATTATATATCCAGTTATTATAGTCTTTCCATTGATTTATCTAAAATTTTGTAAAGAAACATTGACAATCATTTGAAGAATTAAAATAAATAACAAATTTATTTAGATTTCGGTAATTTATTTAAAATTCCCATTTAAAAACATGTATCTGCGGGAGCAGTTACATTGGAAGGATAGAAAGAAAGAAGGGCAGATCTACGATTTTCTGAACATGCACCAAAAAGCTTACGTTACGTCTAAATGGAACAAATGCTTTAAACAGTGCCATCGCCAGGCATCTTCTTGACACGGGTCATGAGGTGGACGTCTAAAAGTCGTTCAAAATTATCAGTAGGCAAAAGAGCTCAATTCTCCTTAAGTTTGCTGAAGCCATTTCCATCAAGCGCCTGAAACCTGATTTATGCGTCCAGAAAGAAGCGGTTATCAGTCTTTCTTTGCCAGCCTGGTAACTGGATATTTTCATCTCTCTTACATCTGAATGCGTAATGCTGAAAGGTTTCCATTGTGTATGATTATTATTGTTGTTCGGAATAGTGTTTAATATTATATATATATATATATATATATATATATATATATATATAAATTACTGTATGCATATATTGATTGATTAAATTTTCAATATAGAAAATATCCCCATTTAGACATTTGGAAAACACAAAAGATTGAGCGAAGAAATATTTACTTTTCATTTACATCCTCTTCTCTGGCTCTACTCTAATATACACGTATCGCATTTTTATTACAATACACAACAATTTACCAAACAAGTGGTGATATGTTTGTTAACAATATTTAAACAGTGTCAAAATGTCAATGGGTAGATAATTAAGGACGAAAATTAATACACACAATTAAAAGGTAGAAATGGATAGAATAAATTAATTTTACAAGAATAACACGTAATTAAAGATGAAGTGGTCAAAATAAAAATAAAAATAAAATAAAATAATTTGGACAATTATAATTTAATAGGGGGAGGGGGGCGACGTAGTCCTGTCTACCAGTTTGACTGCAGCTGCGGAGCCAGCTACATTGGGCGTACAATTAGGCAGTTTCATCGTCGTATTTCTGAACATCATCCAGCGTGGTTAAGCAAGGGACAAACAAAATCTATTCGGAGTTCTATTTTAGCACACCTTGTTGATACTGAGCACAAGGTTGATGTGAATACTGCATTCAAAATTATTTATCGCATTCCGACTAATCTCAACTTTGCTCTAAGAGTTCGTCTTCTACAGACAGCAGAAGCAATCGGAATCCACCTTAAGAAGCCAAGCCTGTGTGTACAGAAGAAATTTGTACAGCCACTTTGCTTACCGTGGCCATCCTTACAAGACAGGACTACGTCGCCCCCCTCCCCCTATTAAATTATAATTGTCCAAATTATTTTATTTTATTTTTATTTTTATTTTGACCACTTCATCTTTAATTACGTGTTATTCTTGTAAAATTAATTTATTCTATCCATTTCTACCTTTTAATTGTGTGTATTAATTTTCTTCCTTAATTATCTACCCATTGACATTTTGACACTGTTTAATTATTGTTAACAACCATATCACCGCTTGTTTGGTAAATTGTTGTGTATTGTAAAAATGCTATATATATTAGAGTAGAGCCAGAGAAGAGGATCTAATTGAAAAGTAAATATTTCTTCGCTTAATCTTTTGTGTTTTCCAAATGATTAAATTTTGTTTAAAATGAACTCTGTGCAAGTATGTTAAAATTGTTTTTGTAGATATATTTAGTAACGACTTGGGCCTGTAAGCAGCTGATGAGAAGGCAACGGAATAAAAGATGGTACCACTTTATTCTGCTAAAACTGTAGTTCTTGCTTTGTTTAAATTCATTAAGGGGAATAAATGTATGAAATAAAAGCATTTAGGAAAACAGCAGACTGAGAGAAAGCATATACTGTTTCAATTCGTTCTACATCAGCGTCTTTAGGTTGGAAGTGAACACAAATCATTAGGTATTGTGTCAGCCAGTTTTAAGAAACAGGAAGTGTGATAATAACGGATTAAAGGTCATCGTGATGGTTAATTCCTGGAAGTTAACAGTAGATTGTTAGTCAACAAAAAATATAAACTTTAAGTAAACGAACGGTGAAAATAAATACACGGAATCTGTAGAGGTTAGTCCTAAGTGTTATTGCGTAATCATCAGTCCGCAAGATAAGGATTGCTGAGTAGTGGAAAATAACAAGCATTCATATTGTATACGACTGCAATTCAGGAGTGATGTGCCGAGTGAAATAATTACTAACAAGTTAAGAAAATCTATTCAAAGAACTTTCAATGCTGGTAAACCATAAGTCATACTTTCTACACCATGACAGATGAAGTACCTGAACATGCCATTTCTCTAAGTGCATCTACCAGTTTGACTGCGTTTTTGGAACGAGTTCAGTCGACCATTTCTCTAGGAATTTCATTTTTCGTGCTCATTCGGGATAAATAAAGGTGTAGTAAAAACCATTATCAACAGCTCAATATTAGACCACCTATTTCACACCGGCCGTAGAGAAGGCTAGCACTGAAGAATCCTTCCCTCCACCACCTGTCGGGTACCAAATAAACTACCAAAAGCATCCAGGTGCCGAATATTTTAAACAGCAGAGGCTATTGAGATTCACCTAAAACAACCGGTGCTCTGTGTGGGTGTGTGGGTACAGAAGAAACAGGTCCAGCTAGCCAGCCACCATCACTGTCCTGGCCTTCTGTCTACCCTATAAATTCATGAAGTCTGTATTACTATTGTTATGTTTCCTTATTTATCTGATACTCAGTAAGTAGTGTTATGTTGATGTATACTATCACACTTACATATGCTATTGAACTGTAATCTATTCATATTATTGATTGACTCGATATTATTCAAACCTTAATATTAATTATTATGGATGGATGTGTAACTGTAGAACCTGATGAAGAGCAGTTTATCAAAAATGTGAATACTCTTTGTTCAGTAATCAGTCCCTTGAAGCTTTAAAAGCTTTGTCCGTATCAGCCTGATGTCCAGTATAGACTACCAGGTGAGCTAATATTCAGTTGCATATAGCTTTATTCGATGTTTTGCCTAAGCAACACAGATGGTGTTCAGAAATTCGATGATAAGCTTGCCTGATCCCGCGCCCAATTTAACTAGCTCCACAGGAGCAGTTAAATAAATAAATATCGATAAATATTCATGTACAGTCACTGGAGAAGGACTAACATAAAAGGAATATGTTACTTTCCTAAAATCGTTTCTTTTTCAAAATCTAGATTTAATAGGTCATGGAAGTATAGTTGAGACAGAATTCTTGACTGCATCAGGATTAAATCGAAACAGTTTTCGAATTCTTCATTAGTACGCACACACCACCAGCGTACGAACCCAGGACCTTCTGGTTACAAGACTAGCTAGCTCGTAGACCATTTATTTAGCCTCTGCGACTCGATCCAATGGCCAGTGCCCATGAATTCTAACTTCTGCCAATTCATGACATAGTGCAACCACTTCACAATGTCTTCTTCGATGAGTTACTGCCTCACCTTCAACCTGCTGCACCCTACTGGTTACGGCTTCCCACTAGAACCCCAGGTTAACTGCCTGAACAGGGCCAGTCGCTAGTGAGCATCAGATTAATTTTCAAGTATTGGTTTTGTAGGGAATTCTGTTTGATTCGTTGGAGGATTTCATCATGAGGTGACGTCAGTTAGAGAACCATTGGGAGCCCTGGGAGTACTGGACAGCCGTTTCTTCCTAGTTTGGGACTCTTCAGCGGTACGTATCCACCTAGCAGGTACAAATTTGCTAGCGAAACAAGCTCTCCTTGTAACTCCGGTGGCTGCATACTGATGAAGAGTCTAAAACTAGAATGGCCGAAACAGCTGTCCAGTTTTCGAATTGCTTGTCTGGTAACCTACCAATTGAGCTATGAGAAATCAATGCAGACTAGGTCATTATCTCAGTTATCGTGCAAATGAAACTAAGCTTACTATCTATAGCAATATGCTTGTCAGACAGTAATAACATACAAGAAAATTCCCCATTATAAATTTGAGCAGAGAAAGAGCAACGATGGACACTGGTGCAGAATAACATGGATCCATTTCACTTCGTTGGTTCATCTCGTCAGCTGTGTACAACCTATAATCTTTAATAACCTAAGTTTGTGTACAATTTTAACATACTTTTACCTAGACAAAACAATAAGAAGACATAATTTTCTGAATCGTGTTGTAATGTATTTGCATAAAAATTACTTCTAACAATCTGATCACACACGAACTTGTCATAGGAATGTATATATGAAATTAATAAAGAGTTAAGAGGTGAGAAAATAGACTCAGGTCAAGTTAAAAGGACATATTGAAGGTCAAAATAACAATGAAGATCAATCACTAAACCAAATAACAGAGGTAATAGTACATCTACCCTGGCTGGTATCAAAATAAAGTTTACCAAAGAAGGTTTAGTGTGATGACGAATTGTTGCTTTGAACGCATAAAGGTGGTTTAAACTTCCTAATTGCTAGCTAGGACTTCCACAAACTTCAGGATACGCCCCAAATACGTTTTATACATAAGTTTAAAAGACGTGTAAACATCAGTTTTATGTCCTGTTTCTGTAATATGAGTTTGAACCCCAGTGGGTGCGTACTGACGATGATTCCCAAAGTAGTTGGGGGAAAACAGCTGTCCAGTACTCCCTGGTTGTTTTCAATGGTTCTCTAACTGATATCAATCCGTGATCAACTCGTAAAAAATATATAATATGTGTTTTTAAGTAGAGGAGCCAGGTCTCATGTTCTCACCATTAATGGGTTCTGGCATATTGTAAGTGTGTCATAGTGAAATGAAACATCAAAACGATAAGGTAGCTGAAGTGTCAGAGAGAAGCTCCTAGAAAAACTGATTGACAAATTTGTTGTCAGGATGGTAACAAAAATTAGTAACAATTCGATGGTTAGATAAGAGAATATCGACATTTGGTGTGCAAAAGGTCAAATGAGAAAACGATGACGCAATGTGGTGAGTAGAATTAAGAAGGTCAAAGAAAATGATCGCCTATGGAAGTCAAACGGACAAAAGAGTGGCGGGTAAAAATATAAGCTAATGAAAACAGAAAATGGTGAGTTACTAAGGGTTTATTCCCCAGAGTAATTGAAGTCCGAAGTCAGTCAGTCGTTTTACTAAGATAGCCTCAACAAACTCAAAAAGGCATGAGTTCTCTTGACAGTTAATTATTTCGAATAATCTCAGAGCGTTTGTTCGGTGTCCTGGGTATATCAGGTGTTTGGTGGTTGAAGAGCTTAAACTGTTCAACCCCTTTAACCCACAAGCTCCTTGGTACATGTTTCAAGAATCTGATGTAGGCCATTTTTTCTGTTCTTCTAATGTAACTTTTCGTGCAGATACATGTGAATTGGTATAAATTGTTGGAGGTAATATATCAGCAGTACTTGTCAATTTTTGACTGCAATAAATAGGAGGACGTCTGGGCAGATAGATTAGTTTTTCTGCAGGATACGTCCTTAACAGAGCTGAACTCAATAATTTATTTATGACTTTCATAATATCGTCACCTTTGAAGTCGATGATGAGAACCAACGGAATAAATTAAATCAATATTATTCTGCAAAAATGTTTGTTGCTTCTCTGTTCAAATCACTAATTAGTTGAAGTATCAAGATCATAGGAATCCTCTAGAATTTTCGGTGTTTCCACCAATTCAATAAAACGACCAGTTTCGTATGGAAACTAACAATGGATCACAATGAAGGTCGTCAAGAGAGACAGTGATATCAGACATGGAGAATTCAAATGAGTTCGCTTCATACTGAAGTTTGCGCTGATGATACTGATGAAAGCTTCACAGTTACAAACTAGCCAGCCCAGAGAATACAACCAAATCAAAAATTCAGTTTTACATCTGATTTGGTACAACAACGCAATAGTAATTTGGAGACTGCTGGTTCCATTAATGCCACAACACCAGATTGGTTACAAATAAGATTTGGAACATTTGAATAATACACCTTGGGTTACATGGTTATACATTAGATATCTGATGGATGACAAGGAATTTGTCTAGATGTCTACAAAATATTATCATTACCATTAAGATTGTTAGTACAACTAAAAGTGACCACTGCTTTCCATTAAATAACGGCGAAAATTTTCAGTAACCCCAATAAAGTCTTCATAAAACGAATCGATAACAAAACGGAGAACAACTTTCATAAAATGAGCCATTTTAGTATAAAAATCATTCTCCGACAGAGTTCAGCTGAAATATGAGTGCTCAGAACCGACGAAAACGCAAAAAGTGTACCTAAATCAGACCAAGCCAACAAGCCATTTAAGCAATTCACAGTTTCTCATAACCTCGACAAAATTTTACTCAATTTTATGTTTAAAAAATTACTACTATTCAAACATTTTACAGGTGACTACTCAACCACAAAAACCCTCGCTTTTCTACAACATGCCGTTTACAGCCAGTGGTTAACATAAACGAGTGAATTAAATTTGAATCTCAACGATTTATACTGAAAGTCCACTTGTCACACAAATTGACCAATCAGGTTGCAGCCAGTAAAATGGACCAATCATGGTAGATCTACTATATAAACTATGGTTGCTAGGCCTTTATTAGAGTTAGATATTAATCTGAATACATTTCGTAAATGATGAAATAATCAATGACAGTTTTTTTTACTGTACATTAATTATGCTATAAATTACGATAGTTCTAAACTCAGTACTAGTGAATGTACAAAATGTTAATATTTTGTCAGTAATATAGAATCAGGCCACAAAATTGATTTTGACGATATTGAAATAATCCAGAAAAACTTCAGGAGTCACAAAGAACGTCTCATATCAGAAGCACTTCATATCAAGTGGAATCCCAATTGTCTGAACAGGAATGATAGACTAAAACAGAATCTGACCTGGTTACAACACCTCCCTCCCCCATGAAGTGACAAAATCAACACGAATGTGATATGCAAGTTCACTAAGTGAACACACACTGCTTTTATAATTTTAAACACTTATCAAATCCAACAATCTACACTTGGTTTTGTTATCTTTACCAACTGACCAACTTGACAACGAAAAATGACCTCAGACTGACGAACGATGATCAAGTTGGTAAACTTTATTTTGATATCATAACAGACATACTATTACCTTTTTTATTTGGTTTAGTGATCTTCATTGTTATTTTGACTTTCAATATGTCCTTTTAACTTGACCTAAGTCTATTTTCTCACCTCTTAACTCTTTGTTATATATATGCTGAGATTTTGTAAATTCCGGTTTAATAATACTTTGATAAAGCTATTAGCTGCATTAAATAGCGAAACGTCAGTAAAAAACAATATCGTTTTGTTTTTCATTCATTGGGAAATACAAAAACCTTTATTATGATGAATATTCTTTGTTCAGTATCCATTCTTTTGAAAATTGTAACCAGTTATATAGTTACTCCACATGTGACCAAATTACGTTTTGACTGGTTGGAATACACCAATAGAAATTCAACAACGTGACATTTAATCTGATTTAGAGTTGTATGTCTGGTTTACATATTATGTGGGACACACCAATTCACTAAATCTATCCTACTGCCCTAACACTAAATTAGCATGTTCTGACTGCTTTTTCCCTCCTTAAAACGCTTAACTGACTTCTTATTGGTAATTTGAATGAAAAAAATCGATATATGAGAAGTTTCAAGGTCATTAATTTCACTCCATGCAGAGGCACTAATATCTCCTCTATTCTGGAATAGGAAAGTAAACTTAAGCTATTGCTGAACTGAATTGACAAGCAAATCTTATGGTAGGAAGAATACAACAGCTATATAATGAAATCAAAATTAATGGTCAACAAGAAGAAGACGATTTGAAAACAACATTGTTTCAAAGACAATGTTGAAGAATAACAGACTGCATGAACAATCACTAGAATGACCTTAAAGTAGATAGTTTCTTCTCATGTGTTGTGAAAATGATTTTTGTAGTTTTTCATTGGTTAATTCATTGAGAAGCCAGACTGGCTTTCACATATGTATTCATCTAGATGGTTGCAAATCTTTGTGTTTTCGGATCCATTAATATTTCTTATTAATGTCTTTACATTCCAGAATCACCATTGAACAAAGTATAGAATAGCAGTCAAACCTCCATCTCAATTTCATCGAATTTTGAAAGGCCTTCAACAGATAACGTTGATCGAGTAGTTTGGAAACTGCTTCAACACAACGGCGTGCAGTGACAAAGTCTTTATCAATCTCATCCAACAGATTATTGAAAACTAATATGGTACAAAGAGGATTTATGACGCATTGAAAATACAGAGTCTTCAACATTGAACCTAGTTTTATATTAACTGTTATCTGATTGGTCAACGTAAAAGTCAAATATGATTGGCTGTCATCAAACTTTGCTTAATCTTATTAATATATGATATAATACACAGATATTTCTCAAAAGAATATTACCTGTTCTGAACATTTTCTACTGATAATTGACTTTAGATCATCCAAAGAAACTTTATTATCCTTTAAATGACATAAATTAGCTTGCAGAAGACATTTTATTCTTGGTTTTTCTAATTGATTTGCTCCTTCACAACCCAACGAAGCTGTTTGTATTAAACCTATTGTCTTAAGCGTAATTGCTGTTTGAAAATAGTCAATTTCAACACCATATACTGATAACTGGATAAACCATGAAAGGATTCCATAGAATACTGACATTGATTCTATTGAATGATAATTATTCTTTAAAATTGATTGTTTGAATTGACCGCCAGCATTATGTTCAATGGATTCAAGGGATTCATTTAAAGCCGTGCCAATCATTAATTGATCAATTTCAAGATGAATAAACATATTATCAGTAGTATTGTTTGCTTGTTTTATTTCCAATGGTATTATTGGAACAGCCGGAGTGAAACTCAATTTCTGTAACGTAATAAAAAGAAAAGCCAAGCGATAACAGTACAGAATGGACACCAACGTCAAATGACCTTGAAACATTTATTGTATAAAAAGTGTATTTATAAGATATTTATGTAATAAAAATGAATTATACAGGGTTTGTATCTCTAATAGGCCGCAAATTTGGTTTCAGGCGCTTGATGGAAATGGCTTCAACAAACTTGAGGACAATTGAGCTCTTTTGCTTATTGGTAATTTTGAACGACTTTTAGACGTCCACCTCATGACCCGTGTCAAGGAGATGCCTGGCGATGGCAGTGTTTAAAGCATTTATTCCCTTTAGACATAAGCTTTTTGGTATATGTTAAGAAAATCGCAGATATGCCCTTCTTTCTGTCCTTCCAATGTAACTGCTCCCGAAGATACATGTAAATTTGTATATATACAGTTGGACTTAAAATGAAAAGGATATCTATCGATTTTTGATCGCACCAAAGATCAAGTTGTTCGATAGATGGGGACTTAGCTTAGCTGCAGGATAGGCTCTGGCTAGTGACGTACTCAGCCTTCTGTTGATCATTGCTGCAATGTTTTCACCTTTTTAATCAAGCTGAATGTAGATTGACATTTTACCCACTTTGATTTATTTTACATTTGTGACTTCAGATCTTCCATACTTGTTAATGAACCTTTGAGGGTACCCATTGCTCTTCAACATCTTCTCAAGAACGTCAAATTCTTCCTCTAATGTCTCTATAGAGCATATTTTCCTCGCTCTATAATACAGAGTTTTGACTAGTCCGTGTTTAAAGCTATTTGAACAAAAGCTATTAAAATGTAAGTATTGTCCTCTCCAAGTAGGCTTTCAGTAAATTGACTTCTGAAGACTACCGTCTTCTAGGCGTTCCATGGCGATGGAGAGGAAGTGAAACTTTCTGTCACTTTCATGTTCCATAGTAAATTCAATATTGGTATGTGCGTCATTGAATAATCAGAGTAAGTGGGAAGCATGACTTTCATTGTTGCACACTATAAATGTGTCATCAACATATCGGCAGTAGGAAGTTGTCTCGTCGATTGCATGCTCCAACTTTGTTTTCTCAAGGTTGGACATGAATATTATTATTGTTCAGGTGTTTTAGTAACCTCAGTAGATTTTTGAATCACATTCAAATACAAGTGAGTAAGTTATCATCGCATCAAACAATTGGAACTCTGTGGTTAGAGGTCTTGTATCTCCTATCTACTGAATTAGATCATTGCTCTATGGGAAAATTTATCAAATTTACGCATATTTAGCCTAATATTGCCTCATTATTATTATTGTTATATTATTATTACCTCATTGATTAACAAATCTCTTAGTTGTGTTTTTTCCACTGATTTCAATAATTCTTGACAAATCTCTTCTCTTTTCATTTTTCGAATTTCATTCATTTTTCTGTAGATAAAAGAAGCGAAGAAATCGATAAACAACGGAAAAGAGCAAATAAATATTAATATCAAGGACAAAACCATGACATCTCTGGACATAACATCGTTATTCACAAATGTACCTCTAATAGAAACAGTTAATTATATATGTGAACAAGTGGGCAAGCAGTCGATAAACATTGGAATCCATATTGAAATCCTAAAAGAATTGATATTAAGATGTATCATGAATGTAAACTTCAAATTTGATGGCACGCTTTACCGTAAAGTGGACGAGGTGGCGATGGGCTCCCTATTGGGCCCCATTCTGGCTGATTTCTTTCTAAGTAAGCTAGAAAATGGACCTCTGAGCAACCTTATCAGAAAGTTCTCATTTTATTGCCGGTATATGGATGACACCTTCATTCTTTGTGATAATGGTTCTGATAGGAGTACAATAATTACTGAATTCAATGAAGTACATTCGGCTATGAAATTCACGTGCGAAGAGGAATCCCAAAACAGAATGAATGGCCTTCCTGGATGTCCTGCTCACAAGAAAACCAGGTGGTAGCATAAGAAGAAATTTGCATAGGAAAAGCACATGGACAGGACAATATACACACTTTCACAGCTTCGTTCCTATCAAGTACAAAAGAAATTTATTAAAGACCCTCAGCCACAGAGTTAGAGCTATGTGCTCAAAAGAAGTAATTGAAGATGAATTAAGCATTGTATATGATACTTTAATCGAAAATGGTTATCCTGACAAATTTATCAAGAAAGATATGACAAAGAAAGCGGAAAAGGACTACTCACTATCTGTAAACAAGAAGCCACTTTATGTACGACTACAATTCATGGACGATATACCAAGTGAGATAATTACGAAAAAATCAAGAAAATCGGTTCAGAGAACTTCTAATGCTGGCGAACTACATGTCTTATTCTCTAAAATACCGATGGTGCTACCTCAACTAACCACTTTAGATTGTATCTACCAGTTCAACTGTGCTTGTGGAGTGAGTTATTTCAGCCGTTGCTCTAGGAACTTGATTTTTCATGCCCTCTGGGGTACATCACCCACTATGGCTAAACAGAGGTGTAGTGAAAACCATCAACAGTTCGATATTAGACCATCTGGTCCAAACTGGTCACAAAGTCAGCGTAGAAGAATCCTTCTCTATAATATACCAGGTGCCTAACAAATTACCAAAATCAATAGTTGATAGATACACGCATATTTGTTGAAACATACTTTTGGAAGTAAACAGAGAACAATAGCTTCAGAAAAAATTACAAGATGTTTGTTATCTGATATCGCTGATTCCTTTCAACTGCTTAAAACCTAAAACAACCTCCATGCTGAAATCAAATGCGCATAAAATTCATTCACTGTAATCCAACTGATTTAAAAGGTTGATATTGATTTTGATTGGAGAAAGATGCTCCGAGAAGTTTATCACCAAAACACATGACCAAGAAAGGAGAAAATAATTCTACTGTACCTGTTGTTAACAGGAAGCACCTCTCTATATATATGCGACTATAATTCAAAGCGGATATATCAAGTGGAATAATAACGAACAAGTTGAGAAAATCGATACAAAGAAGGTTTAGTTCTGGAAAGCTGCAGCTCATACTATTCACAAAACTGGCTGTGACTCCGAAATTGTAAGATGAAGCACCGAGGCTAGTCACCTCTAATTTTATCTATCAGTTCAACTGTTCCTGTGGAGCCATTGCTCTACAAACTTAACTTTTCGTGCTGGCTAGGGAACACCAGTATGATCAAATAAAGGCGTTGTCAAAAGCGTTAACAGTTCTATACTGGACTACTTCGTATAAACAGTGTACAAAGCTAGCACTGAAGAACATGGCTGTATAATGCACGAGTATCGGAAAAATTGTGGTGAGAGCTGTCTGCAAGACAAAATTGTAGACAACAACTTACGTCCCGAATCGGGGTCATGAGATAAAACAATAACAAAGCCTAACCTTGAGGAACTTACCAACCGATCACGGCAGATTTAGCGTGTGGAAATATGATTCGCAGATATATGGCTGAAATTTCTGAGAGACAGTCGCAAGCAGTACAGTACAAACTTCAGCAAGAAGACAACCAATCAGATGAGATTGCTTCTCCGCTAACGATAACACTAATAATAATGTGCATAAAAATCTATAAATATCCCTTGATTTTCTCAATAAACGATCTGTTTCCTGGCCATTGTCTTCTGTCGTTACAAAACTTCCAAAGGCGTCTAGATACCGAATACTCCAAACATTAGAGACCATTGTAATTCGCCTAAAACAACCGCAGCTCTGTATTCAAAAGAAGCAGGTCCAGCCACTATTGCTACCCTGTTGAGCCTATGAATTCATAAATTCTGTGTTACTTACCTTAATTTATCTCATATTCAGTTTAGTGTTATATTAGTATAGAAGCTGATGACGAATTTATCGAAAATAAAATTTGTTCATTGATCAGTCTCTTAAATAAACATGCTTCTCCCATCATAGATTACATTTACTTGACAAAGTTTCATAATTTTATATACTGACGGCTTTTTGAGCACAATTTATTGCGTATAATCGTATCATGGCACTAGAACAACTTTGCAAAGTCAATGAAGTTGAGATAGAGATAGATGACCGCCATTCCGAGCTCTGTTCAATGATGATCCGAAGTGTTGCCATTTGATCGGTGCATCACTTGTTTCTCCTGAATCCAGCCTGTTCCGGTGGAATTATTTCATCCAGGGCATGTTTGATTCTCTCCAGGATGATGCGGCTAAGTATTTTGCTTGGAATGGAGAGGAGCATAATGCCGCGCCAGTTCTTGCATTGACTTAAGTCTCCTTTCTTTAGCTGTATGAATAAGTAGCCTTTCTTCTAATCCACAGGTGTGGTGAGAGCTGTCTACTAGCCAAATTGCTAGACAGTAATTTACGTCAATGTTTACGTTCCCAAGATTTGTCGTGAAAAAATGTGAACAAAGATTGACTTTGCGTAGGCGGATGCAGTTAACATATAGAAGATTTGACATTCAAGAAACAGTCACAAATAGATGAAAGATTAACTTTACGTGAGAAACAACCAATCGGAAGACTGTGTTTGTTTACTTAAACATCCATAGTAATGTACATGAAAACATATATAAATATGCGTTGATTTCCTTAATAAATGATCTGTTGCCTGACTCTTGCCCTCTGTCGTTACACAGGTACCTTGCCCTCTTTCCACAACTTCTTCAATAGTGGTGTCATCAAGTCCTCTGATGTCTCGGAGTCTATTTTCAATGCTTCTGCTGGGATTCCATCTGGTCCTGCTGCATTTCCAGTTTTTAGCATTTTGACTGCCTTCAGGACTTTTGTTTTCGGCGGAGGGTTGATGTCCACTGGTAGATGTCCTTCCGCTATTAGTATTATTGGGTACGTTGTAGTTCGCGGTCGATTTAGAAGTCTTTTGAAGTGTTCAGCCCAGTGTTTCCTTAGCTCCACCTCTTTGGTGATTGACTTTCCCTTGTCAACCTTCACTGGCTTAATTTGTGTTGAACGTTTTCCCGATAGGAACCTAGTTGTTTGGTAGAGTATTGCGAGGTCTCCTTTGGCAACTACTTCGCTACTACGGGGTGACGCCGACAATTATATATCTCATCCAACAGTCGTACGACAAACTAACGGAATCCTTCGAAGTGAAGAAGGAGTAAGACAAACTGGCTGCCTACTAACGCCAGTGATTTTCTTCATTGTGGTAGACGGGCTGCGAGGAAACAGGCAAAAAATAGACTCACACAAAAAACCTTGGAGGATCTGGATGTCGTCGATGATTTATCTCTGACTTCCCACAAACTGGAAGATATGCAAGTGAAATGCAACAAGTCGGCAGAAGAAGAAGCCAGAGAAGATAGGACTTCACTTCAGGTGAACATAGAAAAAACATAGGTAATGAAGATTCCTGGCCAACAGAAACAGCAACAACAACGGACAACAGTCAGAATGAATGGGAGGAGTCTGAAAGAAGCAACCTCCTCTACGTACCCACCCACCTGGGAAACATCGTTTCAACTACAGGCAGACGGAACTGATGAAGATATCAAAGCGCAAGGATCGGGGAAGCAAGGCAAGCTTTCATTACTCTCAAGTCTGTGTGGAGGCCAGCAGCACTCCTCGGCATGAAAAATAAGATCCGGATTTTCAGCTCCAATGTGAAGCCAGTGCTACTTGATGGATCAGAAACAAACGAAATCAGGAATATGAGCTTTGTGAATGGATAATTCAACACTGCCTTAATTTTCCCAGTTAGAAGTTATTTTATAATTATATTTTTGAAAATAGAGATGCTGAGTTCGAATCATAGCGCCAAATCCATTTTAAATTCTCCTTATGAGAATATTATGTAACGTTAGAATGAATTTATCAAAAATAAAATATTAAACATTGAGAGAACATTACAGAGAAACCCACAATTTCTCTAGATGATCTCCCGATACATTTGAGTCGATTTTATCCACACTGTCTGTTTGATAAACTGACTCTGTAGATTGATTTTCATTTGATCGCTTTTCAGGTGATTTTACAAAGGTCTTCTGATCTTCTTTAACCTGACTATAAAACAATAAAATAATATTCAAGAGTTGGTTTGCAGGGATTTGATTAGTTACAGAATTTCTTCATGAGCTGACATCATTCACAGAACTGTCGGAAACCAACCAGGGAGTACTGGACAGCGATTTCGTCACCCCTTTTTGAACTCTTCGATAGTACGCACCCATCACCGGGATGCGTACTCAAGAGCTTCCGATTACAAGGTAAGCTAGCTCGTAGACCATTCAGCCACCACTCCCATATCCTATGACCAGTCCATGAATCCCAACTTTTTCCAATTCACGATACAGCGCCACTACTAGCCAATGTCATCGGAGAATATTTGTCCTCACACTCGACCTTCTATACCCCACTGGTCACGACTTCCCAACAGAACCTAGGTAACTACCTACCTAAATAGGGCCAGTCACTAGT